AAAAAAAAAAAAAAAAAAAAAAAAAGTATCAATCACCTGGGTAGGAGACTAAGATCTTACCCACCCCTTCCAGGAAAGATTCCTGACTAAAAATCACTTGCTGCATGACTAGCTTCCCCACTGGATACCATTTAATCAATGTTACCTAGGTGACTATACTTATCGTAATCTTATTGGTTGATCAAAGTTCTTTCCACCTTTTAAATTCTCATTGGATCAACATTACTTAAGCGACTGTATGTGCAATCTTACTAGTTGACTATAGTTTTGTCCCCACTTTGAACTTGCTTCACCTTGTGGCTTCTCCCATAAAACAACTTTGAGAAGGTGGGTCAGCAGGCAGCTCATTTTCGGATCCCCCTTCTGTTTCTTTTAGAAGCTATCTTTCTCTCAATAAATTTTTCCTACTTGTAAAAAGATAAATAAAACAAATAAATAAATAAAAATGGGAGCTGGGCATGGTGGCGCATGCCTATAATCCCAGTCCTTAGGAGTCTAAGACAAGAGGACTGCCCCGAGTTTGAGGCCAGCCTGGGATTCATAGTGAGTTCAAAGCCACCCTGAACTACATAGCGAGACCTGATCTTGAAAAGAAAAAGAGGGGGAAGGGCTGGGGATGTAGCTTTGTGTGAAAGCCCCAGGTTCGATTCTCAGTACCAATGGGTGAGGGGTAGGCTGGGCTAAACTAGGCTGTTTGGTGGATTAGGTATATTAAATGCAATTTCTAACAATAGTACAATATTTTCAATGTACAATAGGCTTATGGGGACTTAACTCCATTCGCATTCTAGCAACTCCCATCTTCCACAATTCATTGTGGTGGTGGTGTTTTTCCTTTTCACCCTGAGTTCCCGTAGCTGATCTAGGGGTCCACTGTGTAGCCAGTGGGGTCCTGCCACTCCCTGCTCACCCTGTATGATCATCTCTTCTCAACCAGGAATCACACTGGTCTTTGAGCTCCCAACCTGGCCTAGATCTCTTCAGGGTGTATTTCAGCCCCAGCTGCGCATCTCCACAGCCCCAGCCATAAGCTCGGGGCTCCGGGGCTTCCCCATCTTCTGGCTTCAGTGAGCCCCATGCTGCAGCAAGATGCAATCCTGGACATGTTCTACCAGAGAAGAAACGAGCACTGCAGCCACCTGCAGACTGGAACATAGGGTCCTTGTTCCCAGGATCCAGATCTGAGGCTAATTACTGAGGGACTCATCTCCAAGTGGGGCCACACTCCAGGAGCATCTCAGGGGGATCCCAAGGCTTTGCATGTCTTGTTTTTTTTTTTTCTTTTTTGAGATAGGGTTGTAGTACACAGCCCAGGCCAGGCTTGATCTCAATATGTAGCCCAGGCCGGTGATCTTCCTGCCTCAGCTTCTCGAGTGCTGGGATCACAGGTATGTACCACCATGTCCGGTCCCCCAAATTGTGCATTGTTCAGTGTTGGGGCTTGAACCTAGGGTTTTGCACATGCTAGGAGAACACTTGACCACTCAACTACACTCCCAGATACTACCTTAGGCTTTGGGAAAAGCCTCTGTAGATATATATAAAAAGGAAACATACAGCAACGATGCAGGTGTGGACATGAGACTTTCTTTTGACCATAACGGCCCCGGGGGGCTGGTAGGTGGGAGCGGAAGGGGACACAGTGTGTAAAGGGTGCACTGTTTAGAAATACTGCTCAGGCAGCTCCGAGAGGATCCTGCGTGGCTGCCAGGCACGGCCTACATAGCGCAGTGGGTAGTGGGAGGTGGGACTGATTCCCAGTGCGTGGGCAGAAAAAGATCATCCTGGGAACAAGCTCGCTCAGCATTTAGGTGGTAGGACTGGGTCAGGGGAACATGGCCACATAGCTGAGGAGACGCTGGGTCTTGCTGAAATGGGTATCGAGGCCATGGGCTAACCATGGGCGAGACACAGACTGCTCAGGCCCAAGCAGGGGACTCTCTTGCTCCTGGGTCTGCCAAGGCTATCCCCAGCCGTGGAAAGGGACACTCACCAGCAGATGAGCCCAGCCGCTGCTGCCGTCCAGGTGATGCAGCAGGAGCTGCGCTGCTTGGTCTGCACTGCATGGTCCCGCCGGCAACAGCAGGTGCACACCAGGTAAGTGATCAGGAAGGCGAGGTTCAGGCCCAGGCAGATGGCAGCCAGCAGCCCCAGGAGCAGCAGTGACTGGAAGAGAGAGGCTGGGGTGAGCCCTCTTCCCAGCAGTCAGGAGTCTGGGAGGGCCCAGCCTGGGCGCAGAGGGCAGAGCTCTGTGACTGCCAGCCACCCCGTGGTTCTGTCTGCCCTTGTCCCTCCTCTCTGATTAGTGCTCCTGTTTGTTCTGTGAATATCGCAAGTGGGGTGATGGAGAAGGGCAGAAGAGGCAGGGAGGAGCAAGAAAGGACAGCTCAGGATTCCGGCTTCCATACCTGGATGAAGGTAAAGAGCAGGCCCCACCCAAGGTAAAGCTCTGAGCCCTCAGCAAAGGAGACAGGATCTGCTCATTGGAGGGCTACAAGCCTCAAACCCTAAGGGGTCATCAAAATACACAGAGAGGGGTCCGGGGATTTAGCTCAGTGGTTTTGGTGCCTGCCTCACAAATGCAAGGTCTGGAGTTCAATTCCTGTACCAAAAAAAAAAAAAAAAAAAAAAAAAAAAAAAAAAAAAAAAAAAAGCAGAGAATGTTTACATTTAAAAGCAATTATTACAGTAACAGACACATTGCCACAAATCCCCCCCCAAATACTTCCCCTCATTCCATCTTTCCTTTTTCAGAAGCAGCTCTGGATGTTCTCTTTGGTACGTCTTTACCAGCTGTGAGAAAAAAATACGGTGACTCTATTGCCAAGTGCCATCCAACGAAAAGGCAGGCTTACGACATTACAGTGTGTTCTCATTTATTTATTCACTGGGTCTGGCACCGTGAAAATTCTGGCTCTTCCCCCAAGTCAAAATGATCATGAAAGGTAAACGTTTTGAATTGACTCAGGACATCCAGGCAGTCAGGACAGTGCAACTAAAGACAATCATGAAAGAGGACTTCCGGATCTGCTTCCGAAAGTGGCAAAAAGATGGGATAAGTGTGTTCTAAGAGAGGGGGTAGATTTTGAGGGGGACTAATGTCAATGTGTCTCTTACTGAAATAAACTTTAAAAAAATGCAAACATTTATTATATTTTTCACACCCCATGGGCTGCCAAAGGAGGTAGATAAGATGTCCACACGGACCAGAGCACCCTAGGGTCTCTGGGAGGAGGCGGAGCTTGGGCGGGATGCCTCAGGCACCTAGTGGGACAGCTGGCAGGGCTGCTGCCACTCTATGGCAGAATCTAATGTGCCCATTCTAGGTGCCCATCCAGAGTCAGGAGAAGCCAGCTCCCTTCTGAGCGGGTGAGCGAGGGGGCTAGGAAGGAGATGGGGAAGCCAAGATGTGCAACCCATGTACCCCTTCCACTACATCCTGCAAAGAGCAGGATGACAGCTGACCCAGGAGCCAATGGGGGCAGGAGCTGCCTTTTCAGACCCACCTAGCACCTCAGGTTTGCCTGCAAGTGCAGCAGCTATGTGCCAGGAGGCCTGGGTCCCCACCCCCCACCTGCCTGCCACATCCTCCAATCTCTTGATGCAGCCAGATGGACACCAGATGGCCCCAGGATTGGTGGCCGCCAGCCAGGGCTGAACCTGGCTCTGAGTCAGGCTCCTGAGTGGATGGCCTACTCTGTTTCCCATGGGCCTGAGCGGTTCCCTGTCCACAGACCCCACACTCCAGTGTGGACAGTCTGTGTCAGCAGGTGGGAAAACTGCAGGCCCAGAAGGTCTGACAGGGGACAAGCCATGTACAGGGGGACACATAGAGCCAACCTGAAGCAGAAGCCAGGGGCTGCCACCTGAGGTCTGTGGCCAACTTCTGGGGGACAGAGCACAGGGGTGGGGATGCTGGCAGAAGCCACTGGCCCCTCTCCAGCCCTGTGCAGACTCAGGCAGGCCACTGACCCCTGAGTTGGGCTGCTCTGATGGCTCCCTGGACGGATAAGCTTCTCAGTCTCAGGGACAAATGGCGGAAGCGGTGAGGACAGCACAGCCTAGAGGCAGCCCAGATGGGCCACACGGGTCCGACACAGAACGTGGCTTTCACTTCCACCTGGGGTGGGTGTGTCAGAGGTGCCACTGGGAACTCACCATTCGCCTCCAGGCAGCTAGAAAGATGGGCAGTAGCGCTGAGGAGGCAGGGGTTGCACTGCCCCTTCCTGGACTACTCATTAGGAAGACCAGTCTGTTGCAGGGACCCCAGGCCAAGGTGAAGGGGGCCAGGGTGGGTGGGGGCTCAAGGTCACTTCCCTCAGTGAAGATCGCCAGGCTGCAACTTGACCTTTAACTGCCACATCCTCCAACCTCACTGATTGCTCCCAGGAGCTGCCCAGCCGGGTAGAGCCTCAAGACCTGGTCTGAACTCCAGCCTCAGGACTCCAGCCAACCCAAGTGATTGGTGTCCTACTCGAGCCCCAGAAGCACCAGAATCATGTTGACACAGCTCTATCTTTCCCCAGAAGCTTACATTTTCTTCAAACCGATTTGCTCAGCAAAGTCCCAGACATACTGCACCTTGGTGGATGCAAATGCCACGCTCTGTCCTGGCTACCACAGGCCCTTGGACCCCACTACTAACATCCAGGCACCCTTTAGTAATTGGCAGACTACTTGGCAATACTCACGCTATGATCCAACATCTCTACAGAAAGGAGGGCTTGTCTCCAAAAAGATCCACACACAAAAGTCCACAGCAGCAACTACCAACTACCGAAATACTCTAGAAGTTCACCGACAAGATACATACTATGTTTACTGTCAGCGAGTGGAATACCATGTGGCCATGAAAAAGGAACAGCAGCTCTACATAATGAGGTAGATGGATATCCTGGCAGAGTGATGAGGGTAGCAAACCAGCAGACTGCATGTTTAACTTATATAAAGTATAAGATCAGAGATGCTCTACTATAGCAGTAGAGGTGTGAATAGCAGCTACCTTGGGTATGCTTTGATGGGATGGTGGCCTCACATAACACTTACAAATTCATTGGGATGCACACTTCAGATTGTGCATGTCGCTGTAAGTTATTCCTAATAGCTTATAAAAAGTAATGGGGGCTGGCAATTTAGCTCAGTGGTTCAGCTGCCTGCCTTGCAAGTGCAAGGACCCGAGTTCAATCCCTGGTACTAAAAAAAAAAGTAATGGAACACCAGGTGGGCCTCTCATGCAGTCCAGCTAACACCCACACCTCCTCTAGCGACCCTTCACTTCACTGTCCCCAGGCTAGTCCCACTGATCTCTCCAAAACAGGAAACACCAGGAATCCATCCTGTGTTCCCACCCAGAAGGAAAGAGCCCCCAGAAGTAGTGGAGGGGAGATGTAGGTTGGGGCGGTGTCAGATTCTCCGCGGCCACCCCCTGCTGAGTACCTGTGGCTAACATCCTACCTCAGACTCCCTCTGCCTCCTGATCTCCTGCCAGCATCATCGCCTGCCGGGATGATTCTGTGGGCTGGGCTGGGGTGGGGACCTCCCCAAGCTGGGCAGCCAGCCTCAAATAGGCCACCGATAATGCACCCAGCACAGGAAGGAGTGAGGGTGCCTGGGAAACCCAAATCTGAGGTCTTCTGTAGGCAGCTCACCTCCGGAATCCTGCCCTGCCCACTGAGGACAAGGACTGCAGCAGGAAGCAGGGGGTGTCTGGTAGGTGGGATGGGGCAGAGAGCAGGAAAAGGGATTAGGAGGAGGGAAGGGAGGAAAGGGAGAGGGGAGCCCAAACAACCAGCCAACTTGGTGTAACCTGCTGTTCTCTAACGGGCAATTATTTTTCTGCTCCTAATTAACACCCCAGTCCCCAAGTGCACTGGCAGCCCTGGGGACCAGAAGGGGGGCTGGATGAGGAAGCGGAGTTCTGCTCACACACCCTCTTGCTCCAATGGACAGTGCTTAGCAAGGACCGCCTCCCACACCACCCAGGGTCTCCCACTGTGCCACCAGCACCTCCCCGAAGCCTCCGCCTCTGCCCTCATCCACGCCACCTTCAGTCATTTCTGGTTTGTTGTTCTGTAAGGGGAAACTCAGTGTGGGGAGACAGCTCAGGACCCTGGGGGTGGGGTGGGGTGTGAGCACTGCCCAGCATTCTGGTCCTCAGGAGACAATCAGAGAGGTGAGCTAACCTCCGGGTGAGGTGGGTGGGGAGCAGGTGCACCCAGGGAGTCCCCTCCAGCCAAATGGAAGGAAGGCTAACCCAGCTCCAGGCTGAGCGTGACTGTCGGGTGACTGTGACTCAGAGCCAGACAGGATGAAAGGGGCTCCCTCATCTGACCACAGTTCTTCTCCCTCAGGGTGCAGGGTAGGCCCCTGCAATCCCATCTCTCCTCCTCAGACTGTTCCCTCCTCTAGCCTGAGGACGCACACTTGAGTCTCTCTGGGGAAACTATGAACAAAGTACTCAAAGAGGCACAGAGAACCTTGCCTAAATCCAAAAATTAAAACATTCCCTTCTGTCTCCTAATACTTGTCTCAGAGAAGGACTCCTGACTCAGGGCAAGGAAAGGCGGAACAGGAAACACACACACACACACACACACACACACACACACACACACACACATACACACACACACACCCCTGGCATGAGCTCATTGCATCTGGTTTTCCCCTCTGGGGTGGGCTGAACCTTGACACCAAAGCCTGGGGAAGGAGGAAACTGATTTCGTGCCTGGTCCTTTTTCTGCCGTCCCCAGCACTGCCCAAAGAACACCTGGCCAGCTGGGGTCTTTTCCTTCCCAAGCAGACCCCTCTGAGTCCAACCCTTCTGGCTTGTCAGAGGTGAGCAGGCTCAGGAGGTGTGGACTCCCTTCCCCTTGCCCTGACACTTGCCCCGCTCCTCTTAGTCTCTCGGCCTCAGCTGGTCCCAGGGCAACCTCCAGAGGAAGCTGCGGGTGCAGGCAGGCCAAGGAACCTTCCTGAGAACTCAGGCTCAGGTTCACTTTGAGGAGGGATGGAGGATCAGCTATGGGAGGAACTGGAGGCTTCCACTGTCCCCAAAGACCCCACAGTAAGGGAGGTCCCTACTTCCTCAGGGAGGTCCTGGAACAGAAAACTTGCTCATGGTCTTCCAGTTCGCCCCTTGTTCTTCTAAGATCCCCCATTGCCTTCTAGACCCCTTGCATAAGGCAGCCACTCCCCAGCCTTCCTGAGATGTGCCCCTGCCTGTTCCCATCTTCACTTGGTCTTTGACACACCTGCATGCACGGATGCTGACACACAAGACCGCATTGTTTGTTTGGACATTTAGGGCATGAGCGGAAGCCCCTTCTGCATCCCCCCCACCCCGAGACTCCCTCGACCAAGGTCTGCAGCTCTCTTTCCTCCTTACCCCTCTGGGTGTTGTGCCCGTCACGTCACTTCAAGTCTAACCATCTAATGATTTGTATCACAGCAGCCTACAATGTGCTGTGGAACCCTCCATACCGAGCATGTTCTGTGTCATATCTTATTTAACACCTGCAGAGGGCAGAAACAAATCTCGGAGGTTAAGACAACTGCTCATGGTACCACACAGTCACAGAACGGAGCCCAACCTGTCTAGGTGACGGCAAAGTCACCATCTCAACTCCTCAGTTGCTGCTGTAGCACTGCGCCCACAGGCTGCTCCCAAAGGCCTGCTGCCTTGTTCTCACGGTCACCCAGGGCTGGGTTTGGGGACTGAGTACTGAGCTGATAGAAGGTGCCCAATCCATGCTGTGAAATGACCTGCTGTCTGACAGTGGCCAGGACAGGGGTTCAGGAGGAAAGGAGACTGGTGGTCAGACAGGAGGGGAACTTGCCAAAATAGGAGTGGCCTTCAGTAACCCCCAAAGCCAGATTTCCGTCCCACCTTCCATTTGGTGTGCTGCTTCCATCTAGCAGGACTGGGGGGGGAATCTAGCAGGACTGGGGGGCAGGGAGAGGCAGGATAGGACCAACGGCTTAGGAAGGGGGCCCTCTGGAGTCCAGCAAAAAGGGTGTCAAGGCCAGGACCCTGTGGGGGGTGGCAGAGCTGTGAGTGGGTCCTGCTGGCTTAGCTGCCACCTGTCCCTGGGGTGGGGGTGGTGGGGCAGGCTCAAATCCCTCCAGCCACAGCTGCTGGCAGGACAGGTGCTGTGTTCGGGGGGTCAGAGGGGAAAGGGAGAGGGAGCCCTTATTGTCCCTCCCTGACTTAGGGGTCTTCTGCATCCAGCTTGGGATTTAGATTTCCTCCAGTAGCGAGGAGGAAAATATGGTTGAGTCCTAGGAGGAAGGTTTGGGGCACCCACCCCAGAACACAGCTGTCTCTGAAATCACATCCGCCTCTTTTCATGCATTCTTTGGGAGCGGAAGATCCCTGGGGCTGTCCCCAGGCAGCCCATTCTCAAGGAACACTGTCTTCCTCCTGCGGGGTCTGGAAAAGGGAGGGGTGGACACAGAAGGGGAAAGAGTTGGCCGAGCCCACCAAGAGCCGGAAGGGTCCAATTCCTCCTCCCGGAAGAGCAGGCACCAAGCGCTTGGGCCTGGAGGCAGCCAGGGCACTAGGGGTTATTATTAGACTCCTGGGCACTGGCACGGGCACGTGGGCAGTGTACAACCTACCCGCTTGGGATCCCTGGACCCTGAAGGAGGAAGACCTGAAAAGGGCAGAGGCCAGCAGATGACTCCCAGGCTCAACCTATAGGAGGCCCCGCTGCCCCAGACAGGGAAATGAAAAGGTCAATGCCTTGAGCAGGCAGAGGCTGCTGGGGCCAAAGTCCCATGCTGGGTACACAGCTCTGAACAAATGGGCCCCTTCCTGGGTTGCCCAGCTCCCTGAATCTGATCCAGTGGATCGGGGTGGTCAGCCACACCCGAGATGGGCCCGGAGACTGCAGCTCGATCTGGAAGGGTGGCTGGGGTGCGGACACTCCCAGAGAGAAGGCCAAGGTTGAGGGGAGACTGGACAAGAAGCCAAGAACCCAACATTTCCAGGCCTACAAGTATGGGCAGGTTAGGGGGTTGAGCAGCCTCAGCGCAAGCAGAGGACAAAGAGAAGGTTGGCTGTCAGCACGGGGGTGGGTGGGTGTGGACTTAGGCAGGACGTGGTGTGAGAGGCGGCTGATTTGAGGTCACCTTCCTTCCCAGAAAGAACATAAGCGGCTGAGGGTCCGCTGCTGCGCTCAAGGGGGAAGTCACCCACGCCGCCTCCCCTACCCCGCAGCCCCCAGAAGGGGCCCGGCCGAGGTCTTGGAGCCGCTCCCACCCTGCAGGCAGAGGCCAGGAGCAGGGGCGCCGGGAGCCCTATCCGGCCTCGGAGACTCAAGTCGGTTTCTGCCCAAACTTCTGCCAGGCCACCAGGCCGGGAAGAGAGT